AGACTAGTAAGCATCAGTCTGGAAAGTGACTGAATATTATTTTATATTGACCTGATAGCAAGGATCCATCCTTCTATTATTTTAACTCAAGGTATTTGAGTAGGGGCTTTTACATGATTTTTTTTTTTTTTACAAGTTTGATAGTCTGTTTTATTCCTTGCAATCAGAACCCAGAGGATCATACTGGGGTATGCATTTGCATGTGTTCCATGATGTTTTCATTATCCAGTACCATTTATGCTGTAGAATCTCCATTCATTTTTTTTTTAAGTAAAATTTCTATTTGACTTTCTGTTGCAACACTGCAAATGAGACCCTATTCCAAGTTATCATTTATTGAGTATAAAAGTCTTAAATATGTGCACTGAAAGCTTTCTTGAAGTACTCTTCTCGTCTTCCAGTACATGCACACCTGTGTTCCTAGTCATGAAAGCTCTAAGTTTGGAACTTCTGCAGTAGTATAATTTGTTGAGCTGTGTGTGTCTTTGTATACTGTTTGTACTCCTTTCAAGTCAGTGCATGGTATTTGTGTTGCATTTTATGTTTAACAGAACAAAATAAAGCTCTATACGTATTGTATATATCTCACACTGTTCGTAATTTCATTAAGTAAAATTTTGTAATTAAAGGTGTAATCTGACGACGCTTCAAAGAGCTTATGTAGCTCATGGCAATTGTGCCAAACTAAACATATAAACAAAACCCCCACAGTCTCACTAACATTGCACACTCTCTCAGATACTCACTTCCAGCATTTTCATCAAAACGTGTCATACACTGTGCATGTTGACAAAGTGCTAGCAGAACCTGAAACAAATGTGAAAAAATAATTTGCTTTTTAAGTTAATAGTGTTACTTTTAATTACATTTACAAAAAATAGGCAGGGGTGGAATGGCACTCACTCTGTAGAGGCTGAATTTTCTTTTCTTTGCCACCTGTCACTGCTAACTGCTAAACGTCACTGGTAAATTAAATCTGTTGTACTAGGTACAAACTGACGTGAGTGTGGACACGAAGCATCAAACACTACAAGGAGTAGCATTTCCTATTTCTCGAGAAGCTTTTCAGGCCTTGGAAAAATTGAATAACAGACAGCTCAACTACGTGCAGTTGGTAAGAGACGTAGTGATTGTTACGAGATAGCTTTTCTTGGTAGCTTATGGCTTGGACAAAGGTTTACTTTTAATGGATTTAAAATCTTTTCATTTGTTTCCTGATTATTTTTTATTCATGTTTTTTAAACTATAAAAACAATATACGTTCGCTATGGAAAAAGTGAAATTGTAAACTGTGTCAGTTTCCCCTTGTCTCCTACTTTTTTAATTATAAATTTTAAATTTTTGTGTATCTGTTCTAATGAATGTATTCTTGTTTCTTATTGACAGGAAATAGATATAAAAAATGAAATTATAATTTTGGCCAACACAATAAATACAGAACTGAAAGATTTGCCAAAGAGGATTCCCAAGGATTCAGCACGCTACCATTTCTTTCTGTATAAACATACCCATGAAGGAGACTATTTGGAGTCTATAGGTAGATGATACGTTTTTTTTAACGTGTTACTTTCAGTTTGCTCACTGATATTTCATCACTATCTTCTTTGTTACTTCTTGGCCAGAGGGCTTAGTTGTAGTTCTGTGAGGTTTAGAATGTGCTCTAATGGATATGCTGCTAATTGGATTTGTTATTATTTTAATTTACAGTTTTTATTTATTCAATGCCTGGATACACATGCAGTATAAGAGAACGAATGCTGTATTCTAGCTGCAAGAGCCCTTTGCTAGAAATCGTAGAAAGACAGCTACAAATGGATGTCATTAGAAAGGTAACTACCTATTTATCTAATTTATTTTACGGAGTTTGTCTTATTTATGTATTTAATACCTACCTATTTATTTTGCCTTTTTAGTTTTTGCTAGATTTTTATTGTCTTCTTCATGTAGTTCATGATATATTGTGATACACAAGTGAAAGTCCTTTTTTTTGGTTCATATCATGAATCCTTAGGAATGCCTCTAAGTGCTTGGGAATGACCTGTCATGACCCCAGTCTGGTATAATCTATATTCTCTAATATGTGGCTACAAGCTGCTTGTGGCTGTTTAAATATAAATAAAAATTAAATCAATGTAAAATTCAGTCCCTTAAAAGCACTAGCCACATTTCAAGTGTTCCATTAAGCCACGTGTGACCAGTGATGCTGTACTGGATGGTGCAGAATTGAGAGAACATTTCCACATTGCAGAATGTTCTGTTGGACCGTGCTGCCAGAGCAACACACTTGTGATTGCCTCAAGGCGTGTTATTAATAAGCTGTAGTCTCCATTTATAACCGAATCATGAGATAGTGGAGGATTTTTCCAGTTTGGGGGAGAGAATAGGCATAAACATAGCAATTTGGGGAGCTAAGTTACCAGTTTTCTTAAATTTATTTTCTTAAATGGAGGTGAGGGCAAGGAGAAAAATATAGTTTATTCTTGAGCCCTTTAACTCTTAAAACACAGGTCCTTACAAACTGCCAGAGGACCAGATAATAAATATTTTAGGATTTGCCAGGGCACATATGGTCTTTGTCACATAATTCTTCTTTGTTTTATTATTTTGTTTGTTTTTACAACCCTTTAAAAATGTAAACACACTCTTAACTTGAGCTAGATTTGGCCTGCAGGCCATAGTTTGTCAGCCCCTGCTGTAGCGATTTCAAGTGACTCGGGGCCGTGAGTAACGTCTCTTGGAACAGATGTAGTGGACCAGAGCAGAACAGCTGGACAACATAGTAGGGACTGCTACCATCCTACTGTTAAACATTAGTTAAATTAGAGGAGAAAGAGGGAACCAAATAGAAGATGAGTGAACTAATTACATATTCAAGCAGCTCATTTAGCCCCCTCCCCCCCAGAAAGGATGGAAGTGAAACTCTTTGCACGTGGTCCCTGGTTCTCTCTTGCTGGAATGGGTATTATGTATTTATCCATGAGTATTCAGACCTGAAAACTGGCTCGTCGCGTGTCTTAGGTTTTGAATGTTGTGTTTTTCCGCACTGCGTCACATGGTGCTAATTTCGTCTCTCACAGATCGAGATAGATGACGGGGATGAGCTGACTGCAGACTTCCTTTATGAAGAAGTCCACCCCAAGCAGCACGCACATAAGCAGAGTTTTGCAAAACCAAAAGGTCCTCCAGGGAAAAGAGGAATTCGAAGACTAATTAGGGGTCCGGCTGAAACTGAAGCCACTACTGATTAAAATTATGATATTAGCTATTACAATACTAGTTTTTTAAAAGTCCAGCTTTTAGTACAGGAGAACTGAAATCATTCCATGTTGATAAATAGTGGGGGAAAAATTGTACTTTTTGAAAATTAGCACTTTTCACTTCTGTGTGTTTTTAAAGTTAATGTAATAGAAGACTCATGGTTTCTAATTTTGAGTTAAAGCTAGAAAAGGGTTTGACGTCATGATGTTTAATTTCGTCACAGTTTTCATAACGATGATTCCACACTTTCACATAATTCTTAAAATTTTATACAGTTGGGCCAATTTCAGAGAGTCTAATGTCTAAAAGTAAGATGCAATTCTTATTACTCTTTAGTGAGGCATCTTTTTTTTTTTTTAAGGGAGAGAGAAAGACCTTAAAATATTCATTCCACTTAATGAATATGTTAGGGACCAGGATAGATTATTTTCTAAGCTGAAAGCTTCACGTGCCTAGGAAAAGCGGGAACGTTGCTCACCATGAGGAGCAGTGCTTGCTCAGACCTTGGGGTCGTGTCTGCTCACTTTGAGAACCAGTGGTTTATTGCAGCAGTCTTTTCTGTTTGACTTCTTTGGTTTTTTAAATGGCATTAAAATTTCAGAAGATCAGCTCACTCTGAAGCCTAAAGGGTACCAGATATTTTCTATACTGCAGGATTTCTGATGACTTTGAAAGACACATTTAAACAGCTTTAGGAAACTCTCTTTCCAGTGCTTGAAGCATTTTCCATTTCAAAAGTAAGTCATTTCATGTAAGTAGTGTGAGGCCAAATATTTATGTTCAGTTGAATATTAATATTATTCAAAAGCAAACAAACTAAAGGCAATGTAGAAAAAGTTTTAAACATCAAGATTGATTTTTCTCCAACACCGTATTTATAGGCAAATTGTGTTTTTTGTCACTTTTGGGCAAATACTCAGATTTAACAGAATTCTTTTAAACTCCTAGTGCTCATCAGTGTAACACAGATAAGCACTTAAGAATCTTGTTTCAATTTATATCTTATTTCAAAACACATTTAACTGTTTTCTAAAGCTTTGCATTTTCGGTTACAACCTACAGAGATTTTGAGCCTCATTTTCTTTGCTACTTGAAGTAGTAGGGGCTGGAACACTTTGTCATGTTGAATCCGGTAAACCTGCTGCCAGAGCCATCATTTTGAGGAGTTTTCTAAGTGAACCGTGGGGATCCAGGACTTAGAATTTCTTGATCTAAACGTTGTGCTGCATAAAACAAATATCAGAAATGCACATTCATAGTATAAAATATGAAACACTCATTTTTACACTTTATTATCTAAGGTAATATATGCACCTTTCAGAAACTCAATGTGTGTTCAAGTAAAGCACGTTAGAGTAATTATTTTATTATGCGTTGACAGATTGTTTTACCCCCTAGAATTAAGAGTATTTGTGTGAGGTTTTGTTTGTTTACAGATAATCAGACTATAATATTTAAACATGCAGACTAATTGGCAGTAACGTTGCACTTGTTTATGAAAGATACACTTTACGTTTTTCTGTGGGTGCACGTGGGCGCGTGCACACACACACACAAACACACACACTACTGCATTGAGTCCTGGATTTGTGTTGTCTATCATAGACCAAGCTGCTGAAGCTGTTACTTTCAGTGAGGAAGAATGTTAACCTGTCTTGAAGGCATAAAATAATTTAGTAGTGGGTCCATGTGCAATTATACCCTTAACTTCTACTACACTACATGAAAGTTAAGTGGACATTCCAGAATTTAGATGTGATTATGTAATCTTTAATTACTATTAAACCAATGATTGTTGGAAATCAGTGATGCATTTGTGATAGAGTGTAACCCGTCGTTTACAGTATGTTTCAGGTGATGTCATAACAATAGAAGGTGAATAAAATATTCCCAGTAAATTTATATAGCAGTGGAGAATTACATGCCTTCTGTGGACATTTTATAAGTACATTTTATATCGCAATAAAATTTTTTCTCTTTAAATTGTGTACTAAGTTGGTTTTCTAGTACAGCTTTTTTCCAGTGTTTGAATAAGTCTTCAATACCTGGTAATAGGTTAAACGCCCATTCATCTAATTTAATTAACCTATCTAAATCAAAAAGGATTTTCAAATAGCTCAAAACCTAGGCAAGTTGTATCAATAGTGTGCGTAATAGGTTAGAACATTCCCACTACTGCAGCAGTGATGGAAGTGCCATGAGCTGGACAGTTCCTGCTGTGACAGCAGTGCAGTAGGGTGGCCAGCGGACTTGACGCTAAACTGTTACGAGGCGGTCAGCAAATACTGAATGCACGCTCCGGTTTGTGATTTGGTGTCAAATTGGCCCTTTTTATTAGGGCAGCATTACAAAGTGGATGTCTTTGGTAGCAGCTTTACAAAGATGGAGAATTGTCCTTAAAAGGGCTGATTTTGAAGCCTTTTTTAAAAAAGTTAATTCTTGAATGCATTTCTAACTCAGAACTAAAATAATGAGCCTGAGGTCTCTATTGTAGTTTGATATATACCCTTATACACATTTTCTCTGCATACGCAGCCATATATTGTGAGGGTGGGAGGGTTTTATTTTGTTTTTTCAATACTGATGGGGGCTTCATGTCCAGAGATTTGGAATCACGGGAATCATACAGTTCCAGGTATGTTTCATGTATAGCCGTGACTGGGTACAGTTTGCCTTAAATTATGTCAATTGAAGTTCCTCTCCCCCCACCTCCAGCCACTCAGTCAACAAGCTGCATAAGTATTCTTGTGTATTGGTATATAGTTACCATCAACAGTAACATAGCTTCTGCATGACTTGGCCCATGGCTCCCCACCTCCCTTAATCAGTCTGCTCCAGCTCAGCTGCTGGCTGTGCCTCTAAAGGACCAAGCACATCGCTGCCTGAGGAACGTTGTGCTGTGTCTTATACAATATCAACGTCTTCCTTCCTCACTTAATGCAGGTCTCTGCTCAAGTGTCATCCTAGAAAAGCCCTTCCTGACCTCCCAATCTGATTGTACCCCCGTCCCTCTCTCACCTTCATCCTGCTTCATCTTTCCTCCTAGCACTTAGGAATTATGTTATCTATGTATATATTGTTTGTCTCCTCCACTAAAATACAAACTCAGTTGGGGGAAGGGACCTGGCTTTATTCATTGATGCCTCTTCAGCACCTCCAACAGCATCTAGGACATAGTGAACATGTTATTTATTGAATAAATGAAAGAATGAGACTTTGCCTTTCCTTGGGCAGTGGGGGAAGGAGCACATCAAGCAGTCATAAGCTCAGCACAGGGGCTCCAGCCACCGCCGCTGTGTTTCTGGGCAGAGCAAACACTACTTGCACTGGCAGAGCGTCTTGCCCTCGGAAGACCGTAGTTTCTGTACAGGAGACTCCAGGACTGACTCGTTCCTGAGCGGCCAGTGTCTTCCAGTGGGGATCCTCATTCAGCCAACTCTGTCCCAGAAAGCCCAAAGGTCAATTCCTACTCAAATGCACGTGCTGATCCACAACCGTCCGCATTCGCTAGACTTTGGCCAGGCTGTAGTGCCTTGTAAAACTCTGGATGCTTAACAGGAAGAGACAAGCCATAAACCGGGGTTACGTTAACATCTTAGTTTCCTATTAATCAAGCTGTGAAGATGAGACAACACGGGTCGTATCTTTATGGATGCCTGTGTGTGTGACGATGCTGCTTCCTGGCTGTATGACTGAATCAGTTATGTATTGCTGCCACACTAATGTGTAACCAACTACCCCCAGATGTCATGTTTAAAATAGCAATCAATTTCCACAGATCCACAGTTGCCTGACCTCTCCTACGTCGGTGGTCAGCTGGCAGGTTGGCTGGTCTAGGATGACCTCTGTCTGCTCCGCATGGTCTTTCAATGGCACTGTATTAGCTCTGGCTTATTCTTGTGGCCGCAGCAGTCGAGAGAGAGGGAGAGAGAAAAGTAGTGCACAAGGGCTCCTGGGGCCCGGGCTTGGACCTGAAACATCACTTTTCCTGCATTCTATCAACCAAAGCAAGTTACAAGACCATTCTGGATCTAAAGACAGGGGAAATGAAAACTTACCTCTTGATGGGAAGAGTCACAAGATCATACTGCAAAGGTCATGGATACAAGGAAGAGAGGAGAATTGCAGTCTAACACAATGAACAGAAGGGAGAAGTCACTTAAACTTCTGGGCATCAATTTCCTCAATAAGAAAAAAAGAAGATCTACATTACAGGGTTATTAGAGGTCATGCTCTTAGCAGTGCTTGGCATGACAGTCAGCTCTCAACAAATGACAGAGAAGACGATTATGATTGATATGACGACAGGCAGCATAGTGGTAAAGGTTACAGACTGATGTCAGATACCTGAGTTAAAATCCCAGCTCTGCAATTTATTGGGTGCATAATCTTGGGCGAGTTACTTCACTTACTTTCCTCATCCTTCAAATGTAGATCATAATATTACTAAATTTATAGGATTTATGAGGATTAAATAATAGAGGGGAAGCACTTTGAACAGTGCTCATAATTGTGTAATAAAAATAGTGCAATATACAACTTTCAAAAATTACAATTTTATACATTAATATATTATTACTAATTATTATTATTATTATTATTATTATTACTATTATTATTTATTCCTGGGATACTATGGGAACACAGAAGAGGGGCAACTATTTCTACCTGGGGAATCAGTGAAGGCTTTGTGGAGTGGATATCTGCATTGAATCTTAAAGAACTGATGTGAGTTTGCCAGGTGGACAAGGCAGGGAAGAGCATTCCAAGTGGAATAGAAGGGTGGACAGTTGGCCCAAATACACAGATAGCCATGTCACGTTTAAGAAATTCCAAGAAGTGCAATTTGTTTGGGAGAAAAGTGTATTTCAGGCTGGCTGGCTAAAGATGAGAGCTACAAAGGCCTAGTCATATGCGTGTGGATGACACTTGAAACCCCATAACTAGATAAGATACGCAGGTCTTGAAAGAAAAGTATTATGGATAGAATCAGTATTCTACTTTCACTAGGAGCAGAACAGGTAATTCAGTCAAAACTCTCCCTGAGGAAAACTAGGGGAAAATGTTTGCTCAAAGTCATCAGGGTCCTAATAAGGGGGTGATGAAGTATAGAACCAAGATATGGGAAAAAATAGAGATGACCCTAGCATCTGGGGTTATGTTTTCCTGGGGCCATTTGCCAATTCTAGAAGAAGCCATGAACAAAAGGGTTACATGTGTTTCTTTTGAGCACCTGTTTTCAGTTCTTTTGGATACACACCCAAGAGTGGAATTGTGTCATTGGTAATTCTATGGTTAACTTTTCGAAGAACTACCAAACTTTTCCACAGTGGCTGTACCATCTACATTCCATCAGCAATGTACAGGGTTCCAATTTTCCTGTATCCTCACCAATATTTGTTCATTATTATAGCCATCCTAGTGGGTGTGAAGAGGTATCTTATTGTGGTTTGACTTTGCATTTCCCTAAAGACTAATGCTGCTAAGCACCTTTTCATGTGCTTACTGGCCATTCGTCTTCCTCGGAGAAATTTCTATTCAGATCCTTTGCCTAATTTTAAAATTATTTGTATTTTTATTATTGACTTGTAGGAGTGCTTTATATATTCTGAATAGTAGATTCTAATCGCATACAGGATTTTTAAATGTGCCATTCTACAGATTGTTTTTTCACTTTCTTGATAATGTCCTTTAATACACAAAAGAGTTTTTAATTCTGATGAAGCCTAATTTATCCTTTTCTTTCTTGTGTTTTTGGTGTCAGATCTAAAAAACTGTTGCCTAACCTAGGGTCACAAATATTTACAACTGTTTTCTTCTAAGAATTTTACAAGTTTAGCTCTTACCTGTAGGTGTTCCATCCATTTTGAGTTAATTTTGTGTATGACATGAGGCAGGGGTCCAACTTCATTCCCTTCTAGGTAGACATCCAGTTGTCCCAGCACTATGTGTTGAAATACTACTCTTTCCTCGACTGAATAGTCTTGGCAAACGATTGACCATATATGTGAGATTTCTGGACTTTCAAGTCTATGTCATTGATCTAGATGTCTATCCTTACGCCAGCCTCACACTGTCTTCTTTATTGTATTTTCATAATTGGGAGGTGTGAGTCCTCCAACTTTGCCCTTCTTTTTAAAGAATATTTTGGCTATTTTTGGCTATTCTATATGATATGAACTGTAGGATTTTTGTTGTTTTTGGTTGTTTCGTTTTGTTTTGTTTAGACCTCCTTCATCAGAAGGAGGATCCCCTCTTTTCTCAAAGGGCAGATTTTTCTTATAACAAATTCTCTCAACTTTTGTTTATCTGGGAATGTCTTGTTTTCTCCTTCAGTACTGAAGTATAGTTTTGTTAGAATTACTGGTTGACATTCTTTTTCTCCCAACACTTTGAATATGTCCTCCTACTGCCTTCTGGCCTCCATGGTTTCTGATGAGACATCAGCTAATTGATCTTATTGAGGATCCCTTATACCTGCTGAATCTCTTTTCTTGCTGCTTTCTAGATTGTCTTTGATTATGATGTGTCTAGAAGTTGATCTCTCTGAGTTGATCCTACTTGCAGTTGTTACTTTCTTAGATGTATGGATTGTTTGCCATCAAATTTGATAAGTTTTTGGCCATTCTTTCTTCAAGTATTCTTTCTGACACTTCCTCACCTCTCCTTCTGGGACTCCATCCTACATGTTGGCTATCTTGAAGGTATCCCACAGGTCTCTGAGGATCTGCTCAGTTATCTTCATTCTTTTTTCTTTCTGTTCCTCAACTGATTTATCTTCAAGGCTGTCGATTTTTTTTTTTTTTGCCTGCTCCAATCTGCTCATTAGGTCACCTAGTAAATTTGTCACTCCAGTTATTTTACTTTTCAACTTCAGGATTTCTATTTCTCTTCTTTTTATGATTTATATCTCTTTATTGATAGTCTCAGTTTGGTAAGACGTTCTCATACTCTCCTTTAGTTCTTTACACATGATCTCCTTTAGCTCTTGAGCGTATTTAAAATAGCTCATTTGAAGTCTCTGTCTAGTAAGTACAACAGCTGGGCTTCCTTAGGTAGAGTTTTTATTGACCTTCATTTTTCCTGGATATGGGCCATGCTTTAATGTTTCTTTGCATGTCTAGTATATTTTTTGTTGAAAACTGAGCATTGAAAATAATATAATTTGACAACTTGGAACATTAGAATCTGCTCCCTCCCCCAAGGTTTGTTGTTTTTGCTAATTGTTTGAGTGATTGGTTATTTAGTGACTATAATGAACTAACTTTGTGAAGTCTGTATTCTTTGTGATGTGTGGCCACTGAAATCACTACTCAGCTTAGTCATCAGCTAATGAATGGATAGAGATTCCTCAAATATTCGAAACCAGTAAATCTCCCAGTTTTTGCCACAGGCTCTGTATGCATGTTGAGACGCTCCGTACACACTCAGCCAGGCAGTTTAGACTCTTAGTCTTCACTTCTGGCTTGTACAAAGCCTGAAGTTCAGCCAACAGTGAGAGCGTAGGGCCTCCTTAGGTTTTTTGAGCATGTGTATGGCCTTGTATATGGCTTTCTAGGCTCCTGGGAATATGTTGGGACTTTCAAAGCCTTAATAGACATCTTATTCCTCAGTTTTTCAAGTTTTTTGTTTAGCCTAGTGTTTGTCCCAAATGTTACTCATCACCTCAGGCAGCTATGATTAAAACATTTGCCAGTAAATGGTTTGACAAATGATTCCATACAGAGGCTTTTAGCACTAGATTAGCTTCAGTTCGGTCAAATAAAGATAAGCCTTTGAATGGGGTCTTCCAGGGAACCACCAGACAGGTCAAATAATTATCATTCTTTCAGAATAAGCTCTGTTCTGTTCCCTCTGGCACCACAAATGTGGGCTGTTATTTTTCAAGGCTACTGCCTAGCTAGGAAGCAAGGGATGGAACTAGGGTTAAGTTAGAACGCCACAAAGCTTGCTGCTTTTACTGGGATTCAGCTGTTTTCCTTGAATAAATGCTCTTGGGATTGCTGCGAGACTTGATTAGTCTCCAGTTCGGAAAACATCAATTCTGACATTTTTGCCAGCCTTTTCTTTATTTTTTAGGGACAGGCAAATTTTTGGAGCTCCTTTAGCATTTTCTGGGCCTGAATATTTAATGGCAGGTGTTACTATTGATCTTTCTTGGCCAAAATAGAATCTTAATATGGCAGGGCTTCCTAATGTGTTTAAGAGAGTAAGCTATAGCATGTTTCCTCTACTAACTTATGAATTGGTTTAAGAATATTTGACTAATGGATGCCACTAATGGAAGTGATATTGAGTTTATTTTTAAACAGATATTGGTCAACATTTTTAAGGCCACTCATTAACTTATCATATAGTCAAGCTCTGTTATCACTATGAAGAAGGATGCTAGTCTTCCTTCAAAATATATGATGGGGATATGCATCTTTTTACAATAAAAGTGCTGTCATTATTTAGACATTTTATAGGGGGGAGGAAGGGCTAAAGATGTAGTCCCTGTTTAATTTTTTAATTCTTTTTTCCCCAGCTTTATTAAGATACAATTGACATATAACGTGTAAATTCGTGTACAACATGTTGATTTGATATACTTATATATTGCAACATGATTACCACCAAAGAGTTAACTGCTTTTTAATTCTTAAAAGAGGTGAAGACACCATTTGGCTATTAGAATGGCTGGAGCAGGAGAAAGGGTCACTCAGTCTTGGGTTTGGATGTCAGCATTGTGGGACAGTCTAAGATAATCAGTCTCTGAAGTTTAATTCATACTATCAAAACTCTCAAAAGACTTCAGGATAAACCAAAATATAATTTTACTCATCATAAAAACACTGTCTGCAATAGAAACTATGTAGGTTGTAACAGTCTTTGTCACTGTGCATCGTCTTCTAAAAGGCAAATCCAGACAAGAAATCAAAATGAAAAGAAAAGGCTGCCAGATAAACATGACATCAGTGCAAGGCAAACGGGTTAGATGCTCCTAGTCACTATCTTCACCAAATTACCCTGAAGCATAAATAGCCAGCAGAGGAAAAAAATATCTGACATAATCTGAAACACAGTATTCCTTTTCCCAAAATGGTAGTAGAGACTTTGTGACAAAGTCTTACCCAAGGGCCTCTGATAACACAGCCTAACACACAAATAAAACTTGATTCAGTTGAAGTTTTTTATTTTCTCTATTAAAGTGACAGTCCATTTTAGTCCTTTCTGAGACTATGTACTGGTAGCCTCTTTCTTCTTCTTTTTCTTCTTCTTCTTTTTAACTTGGGTGCTGTTAAATCTTAGCCAAGGGAGTCTCTCTCTCACACTACATAATTTTAATGTTTCCTTAACACTTTTCACTACCCGATATTGTCTTACTTATTTCCTTGAATATTATCACCTCCATCTGAACAGATAGTTTCTCCTGAGAGCCAGCTCCTAGAGAACAAAAGCTTTGGATGTGCAATTGGCTTTTTATTACTGTTATTATTGAAGTATAGCTGATTTACAATGTTGTGTTAGTTTCTGGTGAACAGCAAAGTGCTTTGCACAATGTTGTTGAAGGGAACATTAAACGTTCACATCAAAGCTTGCAAACAAAGCCTCTGCCAAACATTTTTTCCCCCAAAATCTGTTTAATTTTTTTCTGTTTCTATAAAAGATTAGGGGGAAGCACATTCCAAATGAAGTTAAGAAAATATTTCAACTAGATGTCACCACAAGCCATTAAATTCTGCCTTGAGGAAACAGTGAAAAGAGCCTGTACATTATTCTCCTGGGAACTTTAGTCAAGTCCTGTGCAGCTGTGAGCTGAGGGCAGCCTGTTGTTCATCCCCAGGGCTACGTCAGTCACACAAGCTCAGGGGGCCGCGATGTGTCAGACACCATCAGGCATGAAACAGTGTGGTTGACACTTGCTTCAGAATCTTGGATTTACTGTATTGCCGCTTTCAAGAGTTAAGGTACAGTCTTGTCTTGAGAGAGCAGCCACGACTAATTTTGGTAAATCTGATATCAATTCCATTCAGTGGAACGGAAACATCTACCAAATGATACTATGAAATGTTCAAAATCAATGAAATGGCTTACTCACTTAAAAATTTGTAATATGGTTTGGTCACAGTCCATAACCAGAGCTACATATATGCCATTTTACATATATGCTTTTATTTCAAGAAATAGTTAAATTATCATTATATTTTAAAATAACATAATTATTTTCAGAGTTAGAAGCTAAACTGTGCCTCAAATGATGTGAGTTCCTGTTGAGATTAGTGTGATGAGTGTGACTAAGTGTTTTTCTTTATTTTCCTTTTCCACTAGTAAATGTTTCTTTCTGCTCAAGAACTTAGTTGATAAGGGTGATTTGAAAGGTGTACTATCTTTGTTTCCCAAGAAAGCATTTAGGAAGGTCTAAACAATGTAATACAGAGGATGATCATCTTTTACTATAGCTCACTCTACATACTCCTGTTTTGTGTGTGTTAATGAAAGAAATAATGATATGAAGATTACTGAATGAATGAATAACAGCAGACACTTGGTACTGTGGACAGAATCTGTGATCACGATGGGATATCCCCATGGGAGAATCATCATGGGATTATCACATTCATTTTCTATTGCTGCATAAAAAATTAGCACAACCTTAACGGCTCATAGCAACTCATTTATTATCTCACAGTTCTGCACGTCAAAATCTAGGCACAGAAGTCCACGTTCGTGACTGAGGATATCACAAGGCCAAAAGTTAGGTGTCAGCTGGGGCTATGGTGTCATCTAAAGTCTGGAGTACTCATCTAAGCTAATTCCGGTTGTTGGAAGAATTCGGTATCTTGCAGTTGTACAAGCAAGGTTCTAGTTTCTTGCTGGCTGACAGCTGGAAGGTAGCCCTTATATCCTAGAAGCCACCACAGACTTTAGCCAGTATGGCCTTCCTACAACTTGGTAGCTTACTTCAAGGTCCACAGGAAAATCTCTCAGACTTCTTGTAAGAGCTCACCTGATTAGGTCAGGCCCACCCAGCAGCATCTCCCTTTTGATACTCAGTCAGCCGATTAGGGACCTTAACTGCATCTGCAAAATGTCTTCATATTTGCCATTTAATGTAATCTAATAATGGCCATATTGTCATGGGCAGATCATTAAAGCATATTTGCTTTGTGATGTATGATTGCTTAGGACAGCACACTGTGAACATGAACTTATAAATAAACCACTGTAATAGGATTTTATAATTGTTTACATAAACTTTAAATTTTACATCACTTTACAAGTTACAAAGTGCTTTATACATATTGTGCATCATTTGATTTCCATGATTACCCATCAGAGAGGCAGAGTAGATATTAGTGCAAGGTTACAGGTAAAACAAACAAAGAAAAAACCCCACCAGGTCCAAAGCAGCTAAGAGGATTGCCCAAAGCTTATAGAAAATTAGCAGTGGAGCTGGGCTTCAGCCCTGGATCTTTTCACTCTATAGTCCAGTCCTCTTTTCTGCTAATTCTGCAGTTTTCAAACCGTTTGGTTAGGTTCCCAGGAGATGTCTCAGGGATTACCATGAGAACTCGGAGGGACACTAAAAAAAGGAGGGCTAAGTGCTAACGTAGCAGCTCTGCTTCTGTTTGTTCTATATGCTGGGGGTTCTACACAAGCTTTAATAACCATGCTGCCTTGTTACAGGTAATGAAGAATGTGTACAAAAAATTTAGCTTAAAAGATGATTTATATAGCCATATATAAGAAGTCAAGAGTCTATTCCAGTGAAGTTTTAAGCTGTTGTTTCCTGCAGCAGCTGTTGAACCTTTTATAAAAAAAAAAAAAAGAAAAAAAAAGAATTGCATTAAACAGTTGGTTTGAAATGTACACTTAGGAAAACAGTGACAAACGCCACCTCCTTCACTTTTTAAATAAGTACAAACAGCTAATACCTTCTTAATGTCGGGTCTCTTGTTTTTCTTTTCATGCAAACACTGACTGGCAACAGAGTACACAGTTTCAATGGAAGTGCAGTCAATGTCATTCATCTTCTTATCAATGTAATCTTCAATGGTCTTTTCCTCATCTTCAATTTCTTCTTTAATATCTAGCTTTAAAATAAATGTTCAAACTTTAATAAGTGTTTCAAATAAAAGTGAAGCAAATCAGATAAACTTTATAAATTTATTTCTAAATAAATATAAATTATATTTATATTATAATTAATTTCTAGTATTATAAATTACATTATAAAACAAAGTAATACATTTTAATTATTTACTCTATTTCATAATAACACTGACTCTTATTTTACTATCTACTATTATAACCTTATGAAGATTATTTATTCATTTATTTTATACATATCTCCTAGAAACTTCCAGCCACTACTTGCCTTCTGCTTTGTGCATTTATGTGCCTGAGTTAGTTGCCGTCATACACCCACCAGCAGCATTCATTAGGCTGCCAGCACAGGGCGGTCTGCCTCTTGCAGTGCTCCTGATCACGCGATTCCCACTTCTGAATGCAGAACCTCTCTCACTGCACAGGCAAACTTCCCCACACGTACTCAAATTGTTGAATCAAAGAGAAAGAGGGAGGAGGAAAGAGGGGGCAGGGCCACGATGAAACAGTAATGACGAGGGAGAGTGGTGTGGGACTAGGATGGTGCAGTGGGTTGAATGGTGGTCTCCCCCAAAAAAGATAGGTCCAAGTCCTAATCCCCAGAACCTGTGAATGTGAATTTATTTGGAGAAAAACATCTCTGTGGGTGTAATTCTGTTAAGCATTTTGAGATGAGATCATCGTGGATCGCCCAGGTGGGCCCTCGATCCAATGACTAGCATCTGAGGAAGAGACGGAAAGGAGACAACAGACCCAAAGGAGAAGACAGTGTGACCCCGGAGGCAGAAACTGCAGTGATGTGGCTACAGGTCAGGAAATGCCAACAGCTACCAGAACCTAGAAGAGGCTAGAGAAGATTCTCGCCTCGAGTCTCCCGAGGGAACATGGCCCTGACAAAGTCCTGGTTTCAGACTCCTGGCTTCCAGAACTGTGAGAGAATAAATTTGTCATTTTAAGCCCCAATTTGTGGTGATTTTTTCCTCCTGTATTTTTAATCTACACACTTTCTCCATATAATCCAATCTACACACAAAGCTTTATCTGTGCCTGTACAGGTACGGCTTGAAAACTGTAACTCCAGCCCAGGCTTCTTTCCTAACCTCCAAGTACCAAGGAGACAGAGGATTTTATTTCTTTGATGAAAACAAAATTTCACTCTGCGCTACTGTAAAATATTATGAAATATAAAAATACTAGCTTTTCGCAATAATATTATGTTCTATAAACATACTTTAACGTGAACTATTATATAGCATGTAATACCATCTTACTGCATATCCAGGAAACCATGGTATAATACACAGTTACATAAGGGACATGTGTAGGAATATTGTAATATGTAGATATTGTACTTATGGTTTCTCTTAAAAATATGGCACCAAGGCCCTGATCAAATATACCTTTTAACTTTCTAATTCTCATTCTAGGGAAATAATCTGGTATATACATATTGTCTGAATTTGTCACAGTGGTTCGTCCCATTAGAACACATAAATTTCAAGTAAAATCAGTGTAGTTATTTAACCAATTTTAAGAAAAATTTACTCAGAGTAGTAGGTATTTCTGTAAATTTTTAATTTTATAAAAAGATCCTGTAAGTTCTTAAAATTTACAATATAGGGCATGGCATAATTTCCCTGTAATTTTAGCATTGTTAGTCTATTTATATAATTGTTTGTGAATATCTAATATAACACATAGGTAAAGTTTTCTATGATAACTGTATAAAAAATATTCCATAGTAGAAATGGATAGAGAATAATTTATTTGTAATTCTATTCTGACACAAATTTCAAAGGAAGCCATGTTGTTTTTCCTTTCTGAGCTGAAAAGGCAGTTAGTAATCACCCTGAAAGTAACAAAATAAAAATATATCGGATGACATTTCAGAAATCATAGTTTTATTCTGATTTTACCCACAAAGAAAGCAGAACATAGAATACATGTGACTTTTCTAAGCTTCACAAATACTTCATGGCAGAGCTGAGATTAGAGCTATCTGATGCTCTTTCCATATGCCACCCTGTAATTGCCAACAGAAAGATTGCCAATAGAAAGTGACATTTCTAGAAGCCAAATATATCTGTATAAATTTAGATTATACATGCAAAGCAAAAAGGACAGGGAAAAATGAATCTTTCAATTACCAATAACTGAGGTTCACGGTGTTCATCCACAGCTGGAAGTCCAGTTATTATTTCCAACAAAACCTATGAAGACAAAAAAAAAGAATCCATTAATATGACTCAAGACAACATGTAGAAACTCGAAGGAACAGGGCTCTTGATTATGAACTCTGATTCACCATTTGCACCATCGCATTATGTCTGTTAGTCACGAAACTGTAAAGAACGTGAGCTGTGATTACTTCTCCCTACCCTTTTCCCGGACATCTTGGATCCCATCCATTCCCGCAAGCAGTTCTTTTCTATCGGCAACTTACTAAACCATCAGCCCCAGTCAACACATATTCTGGACACTCCTTTTGTTTTGCAGAAGATTTTGCACAAGAATAATTTTCTCTGGCTCTCAGGAGAATATTATTTTCTAAACCCTAGTACCCTGCGCCTTAACTTCACAGTGCTCTGCAGGTAAAAATCCATAAATGGGACATATGAAAAACTACAATAAAGAACACCCAATTTTTCCAACCATTCCTCCCAACACTTCCATCTTAAGTTATTAGGATCTGACTGGTAGATCAGAAAACGCCCAAGGATATTTCCTTTAAAAAAATTTCATTTTTAAAATACGACACTAAAGTGCATACTGTCTGACATGATTTGTTTTATGCACTGATTTAAGTTTCAGGCTAATTCATAAGAATAGTGCACCCCCCAAAAAATTTCATGCAGTAATTTCAGAAATCAGTTTAAAAGTTTTACAAATTCAGAGAAGTTTTTATAATTTTCTCCTTGAACGAGAGGTTAAAGTGAATAATTTACATCTTTATATAAGAGAGATAAGCAAGATGGGTGTTTCAAAATATTCTACTGTAATTTCACCATTATAAGCCAGAATGATTATTGTTCCTAATTATATATATACACACATATATGTGAGAAGAAAAATATGAAACTTACCACACCAAAGCTGTAGATGTCAGATTTGGGCGTTATTTCTCCCCGCAAAGCTTCAGGTGCCATGTAAGCTGTTGTCCCTACGATTCTGCTGGTCATGACTGTCTGGGCAAATTTCTCAGAAGCCCGTGCAAGCCCAAAGTCAGATATTTTGGCTGTAAAGTCTTCATCTAGTAAGATATTTGCACTGAAAGACAAAACGTTTTCTTTTTAAGCCAATCAAACAGTCCCTTAGGTAGGTGCATGACTGCATATATTATTTACAGGGTGTCCCATTCTGTAATATACACCCTAAAAGCCTAAACGTTTATGTAAACAAATCTGGGTTTCAGAGTAAAGCTAAAGACAAGTAATTATCTTCTTTTCCTTTTTGTTTCTTGAGGAAAAATTTTAGGAGAATAAAAATGAAATAAAATTGTCCACATTAGTGAGAGATATTTTTATTATCTCACAAGTAATTTAGTACAGGGTAACTTCCTCAAAGTATCCTAAAGCACCATTCCTAATTCCTTTCCTAACATTCTTCAATTCATTTAAAAACAAATTTCCAACCAAAGTATCTCAATTATTCCATTTCTTTTTCTTTTTCTTTTTTTTTGGTATTTGAAATTTTCCAAAGAGGAAAGAATATGGCTAAAAGATCTTCATTCATTCATTTTATGCATTCACTCATATACTCACACTTTCACTCAACAAAACCTTATGGGGGATTCCCAGTGTGTTACACAGTATTTAAGCCCATCGCTGGGTATGGGGGAATCTTCCGTCTTGTCTGTGACAAAGGTATACGAATAATTTTTTCAAATCCAGTAAGCACTCCATAATGATAATATTAGGTATGAGAGGCTGAGAGAACCACCATGTGCCCAGAAGAATCTGCAGAAAATTCCAGAGAAGGTAAAAAATGTGCGTAGTCTTGAAGGATTATTAGAAGCTGATGTTAAATGAGGGACAGAAAAGCATTTCAGGAAAATGGAGCAACATGAACACAGTGATGAAAATACAAAAACATATGATCGGTTTGAAGAAACCGGCATCAGCGGAACATGGAGAGAATCCGAACTTTATCCTGTGGGCAACAGGACACCAGCTAAAGCATTCATGGTAGGAAACTGATGTTACCAGACTTGATTTCTAGGACCACAGGCTGGCCACACAGCATTGCATGGATGAGAACTGGTACAGACTGATTAAAGGACGACCAGAAAGCTTGTAATAAAGCACACAAGAGACAGTGAGGGTCTATGCGAAGGCAGAGCACTGGGGACAAAAAGGAAATGCACATTTTACTTGTTTTCTCTTAATTTTTATTTTTTTTGCGGGGGGAGGTAATTAGGTTTGTTTATTTATTTATTTTTAGAGGAGGTACTGGGAATTGAACTCTGGACTTCGTGCATGCTAAGCATGTGCTCTATCACTTGAGCTATACCCTCCCCTGTGAAGTGCACATTTTGAGGCACACTCAATAGCACGTTGTAATTTGTACGATATGGGGGACGAGGAAGTCTTTAGCTTGGGAGACAGGATGAATGTGGACTTCACTTGATTAGGAAGGAAATATAGGAGGAAGAGTTTGGGTTGGAAGAGAAGTGAGTTTGATTTCTGAAATGTTGACTTAGAGGCTGCTGTGGTACATCTCGGTGGGGTGATTTGGTCTGGAGATACTGAAAATACGGGATTGGAGGTTGATGATATAGAGTTGAGAGTCACCTACACACAGAGAGCATTTGAAGTCACTGTTATCACTCAGCAAGAATTCGCAGGATGAACAGAAGAGATGATGAGGCAAGAATGCACCAACTGGAATACACCAACGTGTAACAGATGGGAGGTGGTGTCTTTCCTCTATTTAAGGCCAGTCCCTCTACTTGGACTCCTTTCTACATTCTCAGGAATCTTATCCTATAAATGATCTCACCTCTCTCTTCTGTTCTATCACCCTCCTCTTCCCACAGGCAAAAAAACAAGCTTTAGTGTCTGTCATCTTAAAAAAATTTGCCTAAATGACACATCTATTTCCAGCTCTCCCCTTCACCGGCTCAGCGTCTTACCAGACTTGTCTATTCTCACATCTCAGTTCTCCGACTCCCACTCTCTCCTCAACTGCAACCTGAATTGTGACCCAGTCACTACATGGAAGTAGTTCCCCATAAAGTCACTAATGACCTTCATGGCACTAATCAAATGGTTATGTTTCAGCCCTCATCCTGATCTATAAAAGGTAACTGACATTTTTGACTAGTCCTTCTTGGGAAAATGTCTTCCCTTGTTCTTAGGAATCCCACACTCTCCTGGGTTTCAGCTAACTTTCACACCTTCTTAGATTCCTTTTTGGACTTATTCTCTTCTACTTGGCCATTAAGTCTTAAAGTTCCTCAGGAATAAATCTTGGGAACTATTCTGAATCTGTGTCTCTCCTTAAGTACATATGAGCATAGGACAGCTCTGCAGTTATCACCTATACACAAGTAATACACAAATGGGTATCTTCAGCTGGGACATCTTTTAGCTCCAAACATGTACATCAACATCACACCGTTTAACATCTCCACTCGCATGTCTTGAAAGAACTGCTAACACGACACGTGTGAAAGAGAACTCACATTTTCCACCTCCAACCTGACCCTCTTTCAGTGCTTCCCATGTAAGTGAATCATGCCACAATCATTCCAGAATGCATTCTGGAAGCCATAAATCCCAGCATCACTCCTGACGTGTCCCTCTCCCCGACCCCTCTGCAGCCAAGAATCAGCAAGTCCTGCCATCTTAATCTCTCAAATCTGTTCACGTCTCTTCATTCGAACTGCCACCACCAAGCCTTCCATGATAGTCTCCAAACTACCCCTCCTTACAAACTGTTCTCTACACTCAAGTCAATGAGATCTTCTCCAAACTTAAATCTGATGCCACATTTCTACTTATAATTTCTTTGAATGGCAGCTGATTATACTTACTATAAAATTAAAGCCCTTATCTTAGTCTGTGAGGTCTTACAGGGCTTAGCTGCCTGCCTACCTCTATAATTTTATCTTATGTCAATCACCCCTTCAATTTCTGCACTTCAGTCCTACAGCATTTATTTCACTCCCTGTAATTCATCATGCCCACATGTTTGTTCCCTCTTAACACTGCTCTTACAAATGTGGCTCCTTCCTAGAATGTTCTTTCCCCATGTTCTCTAGTTGCCCTCAAGTTGTGCCCATCTATCTCCTGTTCACTCTTTGGATCTCTGCTTAAATATCATTTCCTGACAGAACTCTTCTTTATATTAAGATTATAGAATACACACTAAAGTTCTATCATTATTTTGTGCTGACAGATGCTACAAATGCTACTCTTGCTAATTACACCATCTACAGTACCTATCACATAGTAGGTGCTCAATTAATATTTGTTAACCAAATAAATACAGAACAAGGAAGAAAACTGAAATGCACCCATGGAGGATGAAAGTGATTCAGAAAAGAGCAGTGATCCAGAAAAGAAGAAGAAGATAATTTTGACAAGACAAAATGGTCAAGAAGAACAGAATAACATACTATTAAAAAGAAATAAAGGTCATTTAGGATGAGAACTGGAAATGGGTCACTGGAATGAAGTAAGGGAGATTACAGGTGTCCTGAGTGAGGAGAGCTTTCATGGAGTGCTCCAGGGTAAGACATGCACGTGAATAATGAATAGAACGAGTGAGAGAAAATTATCCTCTGAAGACAGTTTTCTGAAGGCTTTTTAGAAGTAGCATTTACCTTTTAATATCTCTATGAATATGATGGTTTTCATGTAAAAAACTGAGGCCATTAGCTGCACCCTGAGCAATCTTGCATCTCATGTGCCAAGAGAGTGGCGGAGTACCATCCTTATGAAGTAAGAAACAAGCCAATTTAAAAAAAAAAAAAGAGGATTAAAAAAAACCCATAGACAATATATAACAGAATATTTTTCTAAGCAACTAGAAATGAAAATGATACTACACTGCTAAGAATTTAGGACTATCATTTTTTTTAGGTTGTCCCTAAATAAGATCAAATAGGGATTTGCATTTCTTATTTAACAATAAAAATATATTAGAGCATCTTCAAAGTCTAGCCTTGATTGATAACTTGACATTTTAGATCATGACCTGACAGAAAAGCCATTCCCGCTGTTTACATATCAACTGGATAGTTTTCAGAGATCAGGAAAAACATTAAGATGACTATAGATTAAATGATCCTGTTACAAAGTAAACATTAGTATTTCAACACAGAAAGGAAAGCCAAACAACCTGATAAACAAACATTTTACCAAGCAAGACAGTCTGTCCAGCAATGAACCGTTGGGCATGTAAACATAGACTAAGCAGAGGTCATCTCCATCGCTTGAGAAACCAAGTAGTTCTACTAAGTTTTCATGTTGACACCTGTGACAAACAATTTTCCACTCAACATTATTATGATACACACATAATATTTAGTTGTAGGTTGGAAGTTACTGAATTTAGAGCTTTCACAGAAAAAAAAGTGCAAGAAAATAATTACATGCTTTACATCATTGTAATATAATATATATGTTTCTAACATGTTTACATATGTTTATTATAACTGCTTATAATTTTCTGCAAACAGTTCTTTTAGTCAATATTGTTCAACATTAGAAGCAAAATCTCTCTTCATTTTATAGTAAAAGCTCAAGAACTCAGACCATTGGTATTTGTAATAGTTTGGTTAAGAACTAGGCTGATGTTTGCCTTTGCACCATCTTCAGTGACAGCACAAACAAGATTTCAAAAAGTTTGTTGAAACTTGTATGACAACCCTTTCAAGGATCCAAAGCACTGACTTACAGACATCTGATTTTGAATCACATCTAATGTACACATTTCTGATTTTTAATAGCTATTATTTATAACCTAATTTGAGTTTCTTTATACACTTACGAGTAATACAACTAAAGAGAGTCGAAGTCTAACAAGACTGCAGGCATCTGCGGTAAAGCAGAAAGAAAACTGGGCTCAGAGTTCAGTCCTAAGTTTAAAGTCTAACTCTGCCACCTTCTGGAAATGTGACCTATCACAAGTTAACAGCCTCACTGAGCCTCAGCACCTTTACCTGGTAAATGTGGACCATACCTATTAAGTAACACAAATGATGTGAAAATTAAATGAGCAAATACATAGGAGAGCCTAGAAATAGTTTATGAGGTGCAAATTAAAACAGTAAGTGCTTCATTTTCCACCAACCGGCACATTTTAGGTGAGTAGATAACATTTGCTGAGTTTATACTATATAGAAGGCACTGCGGTAAATGACTTATCTGCTTTTATTTAATATTTATAATAATTCAATGAAGAAATTAATTTTTAAAATTATTATCCCATTTTATAGATGAGAAAACTAATGGATAGACAGTTAAGAAAGTTGGCCAAGGTCATTGTGCTAGTAAGGTCCAGAGATTGGTACTTACTGAAAAATAGTAATAATATTTAATGGTGGTGAGGTAGCAGTGAAGTTTGAAATTGTAATACATTGCTGGTAGATGTATAAATGATCATAACTCATCTACAAAGCCATTTGGACAAATACTTAGAAAGCCTTTAAAAAGTTCAAGCATTCAGAACCAATAATTCTTCTAAGACTGTATCCTGGTGAAATAAGCAAATTTTCATTTAAAGATTTATGTACAAAGAGATTCAAGGGAATTTTAATTTGTAATATTGAAATTTTAGAAACAAACCTAGAAGGATAATGGTTAAATATAATCCATATATGCTACAATGTTGCACATAATTTTAAATGTTTTAAAATTATTTTAATGACATGGGGAAGATGTTACACACTTATCATGAAGCAAGTACATCAAAATATTAGCAGTGGTTATCTTGCAATGATATACTTAGAGATGGTTTTTATTATCTGAAAAATGTTTTCCTGTATTTCTCAGAGAATCTATTTTGAACAAGTTACTTTTAGGATTGGAGAGTCGGGGTACGAGTGGGGAGGACAAATTCTGAATGGAAGAGTTTCTTCTCAGTGTGCATTATTTTTACCGTGAATGAACTAATTCCAATTTTTTCTTTCTTAAAGTTAAGCAACTAGAATTGCTGATTGATAGCAATGGGTCTGATGAGTACACACTGGTAAACCCCCTTAAGGATTTAGATCAAAAGCTCAGGCTCTGAAATCAGACAGATCTGGATTTGAAACTCACATAGTTATTGGTTATGTGGCCTTGGGCAAGTTATTCACCGTTTCTAAGTCTCAGTGAAAAAAAAAAAGCATGTGTGTGGTGTGGTGATAACAACTGAGACAATGCTCACGGTTTCTGGTCTCTTGTATGCACTCAGGTATCAATCACTATAACTATTAGAACACTCTTCCTGATTTATTTCATCCTTTCTTCTTGGATGTTCTTAAACATACTGAGTCAATGCCTTCTAAACATTCTTGCATATAACAATTTCCTGGTTTATGGGTGTTAACTTATAGCTATAGCTAAGGGATAATTTGATATCTATCTATCCATCTATCTAATTTTATATATATGTAAAATCTATAATTTACCTCTCATAAATTTCTGGGAGCAGAACACCTGTTGAAATTCCATGTAACTTATATGAGTATACGTAGTCATAGAATTAAAGAATCAACGTTCTTTCAAGTCCTCTAATCTAAACCCTTTATTTTAACTTATATATTTGAAAATATCACTAGCGCATGGCACACTGTGGTTAAGAAAACAGGTCCCTCGCTCCCTGTCGTGCTCTCTTCCGCTGTACCACACCGCAAATTCACTTACTTTGCCATTACTTTTATTTCTTGATCAAACTGTTGTTTCAGTTCTTCTGTGCTAATGTCAACCATCTGAAAAAATAAAATACTATACAATATAATACAATACAATAACCCCAAGGCTCCCAGGCTGGAATGGGTACAAGGGATCATCTGGCTAATCCGGTTTTCTTTAAAATAATAAGGCATGGCTCTCCCCATTTTATAGAACAACCAAGAACTAGAAATATTTGTCATTTGCTCAAGATCTCATGGCTGGTTAGTGAAGGAAGAAAACCTTATAAACCATGCAACTGTATAAACCTCACTGACTCATTGTGGGAACAAAATGAAATAATATGAGATTTCACTGCATTAACATCTGGGAAAAAAATTCAGTGTAATAGAAAATATAAGCAAATTTGAAGGCAAAAACAAAAACAAGACCTGCAGAAGTATTTGCCACATGGATGACTAAGGGTGACCAACTTTATCGTATAAATATGCACTGTATTGGTATTTTTAGAATCCAATAATATATTTAAAATACAACAAATCAGTAATTTAACAGTAAACACTCTAACAGAAATGGGGACAAAGGACATAGATAAGAAATTTTTAAATTTTTTTCTTATGGTATGTTTTCTAAACTATTTTTAAATGAGAAAAGTAATGCAAGTAAGTTATTTTTACAAAATTTTCTTATCTCTTACCATTTTAAACTTGATTATGCATGAAGCACTGTGAAGAGCTGGGCTTCTCAGCTTTATTTTGTGAATCTTCCCAAATTATATGTATAATCGTACGTATTTGTATATAACTACACATTTGTAGGGATAGAGTCCAAAGCTTTCAACGAATTTTTGAGTGTTAAGAACTACCAGCTTAGAGATGTTTATTTAAAGAAAATGCACACTGAAACATATATTTCCTAAAGATTAATTTAAAATGTATTATACAGCACACTAGAAATCAGCTCTTCCTTTAATTCTTTCTCTTCCTGAAAACAGAACTTACCGCTGCAAGCTTCTTCACTGCTACGGTCCTGTTGTTCACAAGGCCTTTATACACAACCCCAAATCCTCCTTCTCCCATTTTGTTACCACCGACAGAGACGGGCCGCTCATCAAAGTTATTCGTGACATCCTTCAATTCATAAAATGAAAAATTGTGAAAACCTACAGTGTCAATAAGAGAAGGAAGAAAGTGCTTCAGTAAAAAAGAAATTGGTTTTAATAACTTCAGTATTTTCTCAATGTGGATATTTCATACATATGCAAACAGTTACAACTTTGGATTATGTCTGATGGAAGAGAGTAAAATCACTTTTAAATTTTGATTCATTTATTTAGAAAAATCTATTTCTAAAATTTTTAATTAAAAAAAATTGAAGTACAGTTTACAATGTCATATCAATTTCTGGTGTACAGCATAATGTTTTAGTCATATATATATTCCTTTTTATATTCTTTCTCCTTATAGGTTACTACAAGATATTGAATGTAGTTCCCTGTGCTGTACAGCAGAAACTCATTGTTTATCTATTTTATATACAGTAGTTAATATCTGCAGACCTGGAACTCCCAATTTATCCCTTCCCCCTCCCAGTAACCATAAGTTTCTTTTCTATGTCTGTGCGTCTGTTTGTTTAGCAAATAAGTCCATTTTAAAATCACTTTTTTAAATTCAAATTTTAAGCTTTATCTTGAGAATTCTGTTTTGTGGTCTTTCACCTAAAACTCTAGTCACTTATTTTTCTTTATCAAATGACCTTTTCCAGTTATGTAAATATTTACTTGTTTTTTTTCCATACTTCTGTGAGTATTCATATGTCCTGTTGCCTCTACTCACTGATGACACTGACTGATACAATGAAGATGGTGCTTAATAAATCAGGAGGGAAAAAGAACCACAAAAGAGTTATTGCTAGCATGCAGAAACAAAAGGAGAGACTTATTTTTAAAGCAGTGATGGTCTTAACAACCAACCCAGTCATGGTTAAGTGCTGCAAATGTTACTTACGTGTATCACTAATTTCTAAACTTCTATTCTCTGGACTTGAGGAGTCCGGTGGCATATACTTTTGTTCATGATTCTGATCAGGTATCACAGATGTCCTGTCTTTGCCATAGGGTGGCATCTGTTTCTGCTGAACGGTTACAGTTTCTTTAGGAGGCAGTGTATTAACTGTTTTGGGAATAGCATCTGACAAATGAAATAAGATACAAGTTAACCTTTCATAAGAAAAAGTGCTTGTGAAAAAGTTAAACTAGGAACTCGGTTCACTTAACATCATTCCAGTTTCTACACGTTAGCTCCATATTCTCTTAGTACTAAGAAGAAGCTGCCTAGTAAGAATGCATAAATTTTGATAAAGATGGGCAGAGAGGGCAAGGCAGTCTTTTCAAAAAGGGGTCCACGAGCCACCTGCCTCAGAAGCCCAGAAGTACCTGTTTAAAAACATTGACCTTGAACCTAATTCAAGAATTCTGATAATGAGGTCGTGTTTAACAAGAACTCCTGGTGATTCTTCTGCACTCTCAAGGGTGTGAACCACTGGTGTAAATAGCACCAAAGGGAAAAAATAGCTTATGAAGGAGGAAACTAGACACTAAGCCACTGGAACAGTGTGAGGAGATCACCATCACAGAATGATCCATCAGGGTGGAAGGTGAGGGGGAAAAAAAACAAGAGCTTTGTCTCGTCATTCTAAACTTGCTGTTGGTAAAAAACCTGACTTTAACGCTGGGCTCAGGTTCAGTTGTGAAGCCTCCATTTCCTTCACAGCAAGTCTGCGGTGTCCTATGTCTGGGTTTTTGTTAAAGACTTGGGGAGAGTTGAAAGAATGAAAAGGAATCGTAAATCTAAAATTCATCTACTAGGAGAAAATAGTAAGACTAAGAGGAAATGTCTCTATTTCTGCACTTGTCTTTCCAACCTCAGTACTGATACCCTGGACCCACTCAGTTTACCTGGTAGCAAAAGACTTGCAGGGGCAAAAAACTCATTCTGTATCAAAAGATCCACAAGATCACCAACTGTGCAATTTGTGGTGCCCCAGTCAAACAGTAATTCACAAGTGGGACTTTTTCCAGTTTGAAGTAAGGCTTCAAATCTCCTTAAAGCAAGGAACAGAAAAAGAAAATTAGTATGTAAATAGAATTAACATGTACATAGGAATTATTCCCCACCCCCAGCCTCTGTGTCGCCCACAGCACTTCCTATAATATATATAAAAGTAAGCGGGCAGGAGGAGAATCAGCAAGAACTATAGAGAACGAGAAAAACGGGCAGAAGAAAAAAAGATGAAGGTAATGATAATGTAAGTTGACATACACTGAGTATTCACAGTGGGCTACAGAATGCACACACGTGAATTCTCAAAGATACTATGAATATCATGCTAATTTAGTAATAAGAAAGCGTGAGAGGTGAAGAAAGCAGCCCATAGCCACATAGCCACCAAACTGTGTACAAATTGGGATCCAAATTCAGATCTCACTTGACATAATGGTGTTCCCCAAACTACTAAGCTATATTACTTCCCTATATGACTTGTTAACTCTGTTAGCCATATGATTTTTAATAAGCCAGGCTGCTTAAAGAAACAGGAAATATACAAACTTAGAGAATTATTCCTTTATGTCAATGAAATGAAGGAAAAACACAGATCAGTTTTCCGTTCAAAATTTCTTTCAAAATTAGTTTTGATGGTAACGTTTCAAAACCTAATATAGTTTTTTGTTTTTCCTGCAAATTTTTTATTTTGAAAACTTTCAAACCCACAGAAAAGTTGAATGAATAATACTACAAACAACCGTCTACCCTTCACAGAGACTGCCAGCTTTGTGTTCTTTCCCGTCCCCTCCTCCCCATCTCTGTCTTGGTGTCTGCGTGCTTGCTTTAGCATGTGGGCCAGGCGCCTTGTAGAATGTCTCACAGTTTAGATCTGTCTGACTACTTTCTCATGATGAAGACATCGGTGACAGTGTCTCCTCCCCACGGTATCACACCCCGAGGCACAGAATGGCAGTTGGTACCATTACTGATGACCCAAAGTTTGATGACTTGATTAAGGAGGTGCATTTCAGATTTTTTTCTTTATAAAAGTATCTTTCCCCTTCGCAATTCATGAACAACCTGTGGATAAGACTTTAAAATCTCGTACATATCTTGTTCATCAATAACCTTTCACCCTGTGGCTTGGCACTCACTGCTGAGCCCTCTGTGAATCAGTCATTCACTGGTAGTTGTAAATGGGCAACTTTTCAGTCTGAGCATTCTTTCAATTATTATTTGCTGCCATTATTCTCTAAAGAAGGGCTTTTTCTACCCCCCCACTCCCTCAACTATGCTTTAAAATTTTTTAATAGTTAATTTCAATGAACTAGCTATAAAAATGGCATTCAAGGTTTAAAATTAAGCTTCCTCCAAGTAATTTAAGATGTTAATCCTTCATCTGAGACATTTCCTGGAAGGACTAATATGGGAATTCTGGCTTCAAGTTCTTTTTCAGGTTAATGCTGAAAATCACAAATAAATTTATTTTCCTCTTGCTCCCAATGGCAGATTTTCACATAGTTTTGGGCTGGAAAAACTGACAGACATAAAATCTGTACTTAAATGCTACATGAAATCAAGGAAAGACAAGTAGAAAGAATGGAAATTATCTGTAGATAGTGTTGAAAAATCCTGGCTAAGAACTAAGAATTCTATTCATAGATGTGTATGTGTACAAGCAACTTTAAAATGTCAATTTGAAGAATTCCCAAAATACACTGTTAAAGTGACTTAGAGATTCACATACTTAGACATTTACGCTCCAGAATTTTACTAGAAATTCTTCTAATGTTCTTATGTTATTTCAATCTGGGAATGACAGGTATGAGGCCAAGTGAATGTGCTTGGCTTGCCAGAGAACCAGAGTAAAAGTTGGAATCTTAATTCCAACCCTCAAAACTTATTGTCAAGACCACAATATTAGCCTAGCTGATACACTGGAAAGTGGAACAAAATTTGAAAAAAAGAAAAAAAGAAAAAGAAAAAAAAAAGGGGGTGGTATTTACTACCATTACCTCCCCTGGAGAGAGGTTTATTTTCTGAACTGCAACAGTAGACAGTATTCATACCTATTAATCATTCTAGGTCGTGATTTAAGAACTTAAAAAGAAAAAGAATTTTGTATGTTACCTTATGTGAAACTGGTTGTATCTCTCATCACCAGATGGTTTTTTAATAGCTACTGCTAACTTCTTCCATCCTTCTTGGGGATCAATAAAATCTGACAGCTTCCTAATTAGTCCAACATTGAGGCAGCGCACATATGTTGATGCTGTTATGGGTTTGCTCATCTTTTATTCCTAAAATATGGAAAATACTCATTAAAATTTTACAGTAGCTTTAGCGATGACATCTATAAGCCTGCACATCCCACTTCACAATAAAAATGAATTGCTGGTGACTGATTACACCATAACAGAGGAACACTCCAAAGTCAACTAGCTGATAGTCCAGTCTTTCTCCATCTCTAAATATCAACAAAAATTTTAAAGGATTATTATTTTTTTTGGATACTGACATTTTCCAAGTGAAATTTACACAAAGGAGTAAATAGTTGACTTTTTCAGAAAAATTCCTGTAAACATATTCAGACATCAAGTGTATTTTTAAAAAAAGATTTATTTTTCAACTTAAAAATATTTCTCTCAATCAGTACTTATTTACTATTAAGCATTTATGCAATACTCTTTGGTAGACTTAAAAAAAAGTGTTCTGAAACAGTGTGTCTAGCCTTAAAAGATATGGTCCAGCTACAGACTTTTCACATCAGATGTTCTTCCTTGATGCCACCACAAGTTTTGAGTCCAGCAGACCTTCCTGATCACTGTTCCTTCCCTACTATGGCAAGTCCTGCGGTTCACCACTTCAACTACTCTCTCGACTGAACCTTCATTTCCTCAGTCCCCTTTTTCTTCTGCTACTCCATCCTGGAGAGATGCAGGCAAGGATAAATCTCACAGTTTTCTCTGTACACCAGTGATGCTGAATGCAGCTGTGCAGAACAAGGGACCTGAGCAGGCCAGTGCGAATACCAAAGTAGGGGACCATTTTCCATTGCACTTCAACACAGCTGTCATTCCTTCCATCTGTCCTCCGAGACTATTTCACACTTTTGCTCTCCTTGTGCGGTTTTATTTTATCTCCACCTCCCTCATTCTCAGCAAGTGGTGACCTTTTCAACTCACCAAACCATGCAGATTTAGCTATGCTTCTGTCGATCCCTCTCCTGCTCCTCTACATATTTCTATTTTGAAAATGCAATATAATCAATCTGGGGAGTAAAGAACAGATTCATGTGGTACAAAATTCAGAAGCTACAAAAGAATCAGAAGCAAAAGTCCTTCTGTGTTCTAGGCCTCTATATTAGCGTTTTCTTTTCTTTGGCCTTCTTTGGCCACCACATCTAAGTAGGTCCATCTACTCAACCTAATGACCTTTCCTCACTGCACAACATATCTGCTCCCTGAATTCAGGGACCATGCTCATTTTGCCCACTAAAATACAACTCGTGACTAGCACACTGTAGATCCTGGTGTTACATGTTAGGAATGAATGAATTCCTTGCCCAGTAACATGCAAGGTGATTTATATATTTCACTTAATCCTCACAGTGACTAAGGCAGTTTTATCATCTCTATTTCACAAAGGTAGTAAGCAAAAGAGGTAAGTCTTGAACCTGTATCTGACTCCAAAATTCATGCCACATATCCCTGTTTCTCTAACTCAAAGCATTGTTCATGCCACTCTCTTTTCTAGAAAGACTTATTATTTCCTTTCGTTTATTCATATATTCAATAAATATCATGTATAATTCATTTATATATTCAATATACATTAGGCTTTGCACTAAGTGATGGGAGCTACAGAGAAGAGAAAAATCGTTTTCAAGCTTCTCAGTCTAGCAGGGGCACAACCAATTACAACGAGTATGAATGCCACAAGAAGTGCGAGCAGAGTGGTAATGGGGCCCAGAGAAGGAGCATCAAAAGAAACGGTCTGAAGGAGGTATATCAAGACAGATGTGGGTGCGGTGGGAGGTTGGAAGGATGAGTGAAAAAGAATGAAGATATTCCCGTTCCCCAAAAAACAGAAGGAAATTCCAGGCAGCAGGAATAGCATGGGAGAGCATGGGTTAGGCTAAGGCAAGGAGTTAGCTATGGCTGGACCAGAGGATACATGTCATTAAGTAATAAGAGATAAGTTTGGAGAGGTAGGCAGGGCCACGATCATTATGTGTCCCATATGCTATGTCAAGGAGTTTAAGTTTATACCAAAAGCTACAGGGGGGCTATTTCAGGGTTTTAAGGGAAGGCAGTGTGTGATCCTATCTGGTTAAGTGAATTCCTCCAGATAAAATTTGAAGGGATGGATATTAAGACAAAGAGACCAGAGACCAATTTGAAAACTTTATAGTAATCAATAATTGAAAGCCTGAAGAAAGTATATGGTCAGGGAATGGAGAAGAAAAAGCTTCCAAGGTTTAGAAGGCCAAATCAAAACAATTTCATGATATTAGAGGGAGAGGAGACTGAAGGAAACAGGCCGAAGGTTGGTTTTTTCCCTTGGGCAATTATGTAGATGAGAGAGGAAATCATGCATTCAGTTCTGGTCATGTTAAGTGTGAATTATCTCCCTCTGGCACCATCTAGGGGAGTTGGCACTAAGGAGCTGGATATGTGGTCTGGAGCTTAGGAGAGAGGTTTAGGTAAAGAATGCTTACATATGAACCTTCTCATATATTCATATATGAATAGTGGCTGAAGCAACAAGGAAATATGAGACTGCCTATTAGGAATAGATAGAATGTGAAGGAATGAAGAGAAAAAAAGAAACTAAGTATTGGTAAGTCATGGAGGTAATCAGGAAGACAATTAGGACAGTAGCATATCAGAGGCTTCTAGAATGCGCGATAGGGTGGTATAAAAGACCCAGAAAGGTCAAATAAATACTGATGTGTGTGTTAAATACGGAAACCAGAAGGCCACTGGGTGACTGAAGAACAGTTATAGTGGAGCAGTGAATGCATGGAAGAAATGAGTTTTCCAGGAAGTCTGGCTAAGAAGGGAAGGAGATAGAAAGAGGGAGGAAGGAAAAAAGAAAGGAAGGGAGCAGTTCTCACACTAGGCCTTAGTACTCTTTACACTCTTAAAAATTACTGTGGTTACATTTTGTTTATTTTGGTTACATTACCAATATTTACCATATTAGAAACTGATGCTCAGAAATGTAAACATTACTTATTCATTAATTCATTTAAAATAATAATAAATGTCCTACATATTAGCATACATAATACATTTTAATAAAAATAACCGTATTTCCTCCCATAATATGAGTGACATTGTTTTACAGTTTTGCAAATCTCTTTAATGTTTAACTTAATAGAAGACAGCTGGGTTCTAATATCTGCTTCTGCATTCAACTAGTGGCAACATGTTAATTTGGTTGATGCATATGAAAAAAATCCCGGTTCACACAGACATATAGTTGGAAAGGACAGAGTATATTAATAGTCATTTCACAAAGTGGGTATTTTTCTTTGCTACTATATTAAAACTTGGTAAGTGATAACTTCCTGAAAGCTAAAGTGCGGAAGATCAGGAGCTCTGCTTGGACAGGTAGAAAACAAACTTCAAATGATTGTTTAGCATGCAAACAGGAGAATAAGAGAAATCTGAACTTTCTGACGGATCTCTTCAAGGGAAAAGGCAAATCTGAATCTACTCTGCTCTGAGGGCTCCTTGGGCAGACAGGTTTTTGAGGCACTAAGAGAGCTACTTGTTCCCATTCTAAACGGTCTGTTTTTCATTCTTTTGTTCCCTCTCTTGTTTCCAGGCTGTCAGTACATTTTTCCCATCTGATAATGTATTTATAACCCCGCTTCCATTTCCTGGACGCTGGAGAGACAAGCTAATTAGAATCTCGGAGGTTCGGAACGCTTTCCACGCGGCGAGCATCTCCGCCGGGTGCTGGTCTTACTTCCTGGTTCTCGGGAAAAGAGATTTCCTTTCGTAAACGGGTTCTTGGAACACACCGCCTGGGAGTTGAGAAACTTGAGGCGGGGTCCGACAGAGCCACAGAGGGGCTGGGCGAGGCCTGCCCACGCCCCACGGTCCTCCTCAGCTCCCACTAAATTCTGGTCCCCCGGGACCCACCCAGGTCTTCTCCCTGCAGCAAGCGCTGCCCGAGCAACCTACTTCCTCCCTAACTTTTCTCACTTCCACCGAAGATAGGAAGGCGATGTTCCTTCCGAACCGTCCTTCAAAAACCCTGGGGCCGAGGGACCGAGGTCGGGGCGCGGGCCTCAGACATCCCGCGGGGAAGGTGGCGCGCACAGCCGGAATCCCTTACCTACCCAGACGCCGGGCGCGGGGGGCGGGCGGGACGCCGCGGGGCTGAGCCAGCGGCGGGTGAACCCCGGTTCTAGGAAGGGCCGGGGCGGGCCCAACCCGTCAGGCCCCGCCCCCGCCCCGCCCCGCCCCCTTCCTCCTTAAGCCTCTAGGCGGCTCCCCAGCGTGAGAATTTCCCGGTCTCTTGTAATGCGCTTCTTTACTCGGGAGCCTGCCCCTTTAAATACGCCTCTGTCGGAGGCTAGTTTAAGGCTTCCGAGCATGCGCGCAGCGTAGTGCCGAGGACTGCCTTTCGCCTGACCGTGAGGTACGGGGGTTCGAGCTTCTCGTGCCGCATAGGGTGTGTGTACGGGGCGATGACAAGATTGGCATTGGGACCCTCACCTTTTGCCCCCAAGAGGAGGGCGACGTGAGCTAGTATCGCGAGCTAGTATTGGGACAGCGCGGGTCAGGGAGGAGAAGAGAGCAGTGGAGTTGCTGGCTGTGTCTGCAGATACTTCTGGGCGCGCCCGAGGGCTGCGGGCGGGAGACGTTGGTCCTGTGGATTGGTGGCCGAAATGAGACGTAGGCGTGAGTGAGGCGGAGGAAGGAAGAAGAGGAGGCGCAGGAAGGAAGAAGAGGAGGCGCCACTATCCTCCTGTTCTAGCATCCTCCCGTAATCCTCCCCAACGTTGGGTGGCCAGACTGCCCTCTCTCCCTGTGCGGCCCGCACGCTCGTCAGCACGTCTGAGGCATAGGAACACCGCACATTTGCGCTTATCTCCACGTGGGCTCCTTGGCTGCCCTCCAGCACGGTTCCACCCTTACTGAGAGGCTTGGTTGTAATTCCCTCATCGTTGCATTCTCCTCAAGTTGTTCTGCCTGTTCTACTGGCTTAAAATGTCTTCGTATCTTCTTCCTTTTACTGTATAAAGAGTAGGTCGTCATTCTTCCCAAGGCCAGTCCCGCCGCTGAGCTCTTGATCCCATCGTGTTGCTCTCCGGCTCCTCTAACTCATCAGATTCATCCCGCTCAGTGCCATTAGGCATCTTACTAAAACATCTTTTTGGATTGTGTCATTTTCCTTCTCAAACACCTGCGGTGGCCATCCATTGACCACTCAGTTGGATTCTAAGTTCTTGACAAGGCGTGCAGTGTCTTACCTAGTTTGGGACTCATCCAGCTGTATTCTCCAGAACTGTACTAGAAAACGTTTTCTCCCGCTGCTTTGTATCCAGGCTGTTCAGTTTTCTCTACCACACTGCTTATCTTCTTTGTGCCTCACTTGTGATATGTCTCTGCCTCATGCCTGTCTCTTGAACTGTTTTGAGGACTTGGTCAGTTCTTACTAGTTATCATTGGCAGAAGTGATCCCTTCTTCCTCTTCTCTCTTACAGCTCTTATTTTGTACTGACTGTTTCATTTTTTCAACAGGCAGTGTTGATTGTGTGCCTACTATGCTTGATACAAGGTCCTTGCTCTCATGGAGCAAACATTCTAGTTGGAGTAGATATATAATAAACAATGAAGGGAATTACTAGACAGAAAATTGCAGAAAATTAAATAGGGTTTTGTTAAAAATAATAGCTTGCTGGTTTTTTTGGATTATTGGTCCGGAGAGACCTCTTTGAGGGTGTTATGGGGAGGGACCGATTTAATCAGTAGGAGCAGTTGGCACAGTGGAACTGAAGAAGGCCAGTGTAGCTGGAATATAGCAGGGAATGGGGAAAGGTACAAGATACATTTGGACACTAGACAGAGTCCAGAATCTTAAAAGTCTCTGGAAACCAGGGTAAGTAATTTGGATTTTACTATGCATGTGATTAGAGGGTTTTAAACAGGGTGGTATGATTTAATTTTCATTTTAAATCATCATTCTGGGCACTATAGAAGGACTATAGTGGACTGGTAATAGAAGCGGAGATTAGAGGCCTTCCCAATGTATGAGAATTTCTAGAATGAAGTACTAGGAAGAAGGGATAAAAGGACAGCAGGGGTAGTTAGAGAGCCAGAGGCTTAAAGTTGATGCAATTTTTGGTGATGAGAAAGTCAAAGCTATGACTGAGATGAAGTGAAAGGGATTTGAGTTTGAGATAGAGGAACTGTGGTATTAAATGCATGATCCACATGGATGGTTGTGGATGTAATGCTGGACAGGAAGACAGTAAACCAGGTATTAAAGTCCACAGTGAATAAAGAATTGTTCTGGGACCAGAGAGAGGATGACAGCAAACTGTAGAGCCTGATGGCATGAACCTCAAAGGAAATGGGATTTGGGGAGATAGAGGAGAAAGGAATGGCTTGAAAGGAGCAATGGTAAACAGATAGTATTTACAACCTTCAGGTCCGGAGGTGGGTTTGAAAGGAAAAGTAGCCAGTGATTCCCACATGGCATAGTAGAAAGGATGGTGGGGGTGGCTATGCTTGCTACAATGGCTCAGATTAGTAACACACACTGTAGAAATGGGAAGAAGGTCCAGATGATGGTTACTTACCTGGAGAGTGCATTTAATGCAAAAAACTGAGTGGTACGGGTCCTGATGCTCCACTTGACATGATGGCCATGAGTTGTGTGAAGAATGAGTGAAGGTTTCCCCAAAGAACTGTTCTCTTGTCTACTGCTTCAAGAGGATCTCTTCTCTCTGATGCCAGAGAGAGATGACTGGAATTTTCCTCCAGGTCAAACTCAAAAGTTTGTATCTGAGCTTTCAAGAAAGCTTAAGGTCCAGGAATAATTTAAGCCTACCTTGAAGCATAATCACATTGCAAGTTGCTTTTAGAACTTCTTTCACCCATCAGTTTGAACTCTCTTCCTGTCTTCTCCTCTTGCCTTCTCCCATCCTTGTCCTTCCGTATATAAATACCTAGCCACAGATTCTCTGGAATTGGAAATTTTAGGTTTCAGGCATGGGTTTTAGACAAATCATTGTAAACAGCCCTATGTTCTAGTCTCTTCTTTGTAGGCCTACAAATAGTATTTTAAAAGTGAACTTGAAACTGATCTATTTTAATCTCATAATTTTAATAGACTCTTCACCCAGAGTAGGTGAAGAGTCAAGTTGTAAATCACCAGATATACCAGGAAAAAATTGCCTGTTAATTCATCTTGGTATGAGAGAGTCAAAATGTACATGACATATAGAAATAAATTAAATTATTAATGTCTTTTAAGGGGACTCAGAATTGAAAGGGAGAAAGAGAATTAAATAAATCCTGCAAATCTATTTCTCTTTTGTTATCCAGAGATTTTCTTCCTGGTAATTTACTGTCTCTTTGTTTCTTTTGTAGGCATTGTTATTTAAGAATGGAAGAAGATACAGATTTTAGAATCAGGTTTAGTTCTTTGTGTTTCATTACTGATCACGTTGGATTTCATGGCACTATAAAAAGCTCGCCAAGAGACTTTGTTGTTATTGAGATTGATCCTCAGGGACAGTTAGTTAATAAAGCCAGTGATGAACCTATTTGCAAGGTTAATAAACTACTACCTGAGCCAGATACTTTGGCTAAAAAACCAAAACTAGAGCTTCAAAATCTGTCCTTTGAAGAGAAAAGCAGCCAAGAAGTCAGTACTTTGGCTGGGTGCTCCGATGATGACCAAAATTATGAGCCTGGTTCAGAAAAGGAAGATACTATCAAACATGGGCCTTCCACATGTGAAGAAGAAGACATTGATGTATTAGGCTCCTTGTTAGGTGAAAAAACTGATGAATTACTGAATCAATTTGCCTGTGATGTAAAAGAGAAGTGGAATTCTAAAACTGAGTTCATTGGATCATCTCCTGAATTCTCACTGGGCAGAATCCTTGACAAAAACCAGAGGGCTGTTTTGCATAGTGCTGTTAGGCAGAAATTTCCTTTTTTAATAACTGTAGGAAAAAACAGTGAAATTGTTGTAAAACCAAATCTTGAGTATAAAGAACTCTGTCACCTGGTATCCGAAGAAGAAGCATTTGACTTTTTTAAATATTTGGATGCGAAGAAAGAAAATTCCAAATTTACCTTTAAACCTGATAGAAACAAAGACCACAGAAAAGCTGTCCACCATTTTGTCAACAAAAAGTTTGGGAATCTTGTGGAAACTAAATCTTTTCCTGGACCGAATTACAGTGCTGATAATCCAAACGTAGTGATAACCGTAAGATTTCGTGAAAAAACACACAAACACGGGAAAAGGTCTCTTGACTGCCAGGAAAGGAAAGATATCTACACAGGTAATTTGATAAATCATTACCATTTTCTTAGATAAACTTAGTTAAAATTGCATGAAAGCTGAATAATTTCAGATGAATTAAATAGACTTGTTCAGAGGGATATTGGAAACAAATGTCTGAATCTGTTTTTTAATGGAAGATAAAGGCTTTCAAAATACGCTAATTGTAAAAATTAGCCTTATTGATGAAAGTGTGGTTGACACACACATTTATAGTTAACATAGTCACAAACGTATAAGGGTGAAGCAGTTATTTTGTGCTTAATATGTCTTATGTGAGGCGTAAATCTTGACTTCGTATTTTGAAAGTTATCTTACTTAAAATTAAGTATTTGGAGAGAGTAGACTATGTTTGAGATGCTTGGGGAAGTGGAGAGAACACCTTGTAATGTAAAACAGCCGGGCTTCGCTGCCCAAGATAAGGGAGCTGAAAACTTGCAGGAGGTTCCTTCCTTTGGCTCTGTCAGTCTTTGAGAGAAGTTCTCAAACTTTAGTGTGCATCCTCATCACCAGAAGGACTTGCTGAGAGAGATTTCTGAGCCCTGTTCTCAGAATTTTTTGATTTAGAAGATTTGGAGTAGGGCTTTTGCAAATTCCCAGTTGATGCTTTCTTGGCTTGTCTGGGGATCGCCAGTTTGAGAGTCACTGTTTTAGGGACTACATTCACTTCCTAGGATGGGATGGACCTGATGAAATCTCACTCTACAAGATCAGCTGACCAGGTTTCACTGGCCTGTATTGTCCATGAAGGATGACAGGTGTTTCAGACGGTCGTGTTTTTTACATCAACAGCAAAGCACTGAGGATAAAAGCAGCAACCCAGATGTTCACACTGTGTGTGGTGCAGAAGCAGGGTTGTACTATGTAGGGACTCTGTGATGTGAATGAAGAGTTTGGACCTTGGAGCTATGTGGGTTTTATTTCACATTATGACTTTAGTTCATA